TGTGATTCCAATATAATTTACTACACTTCAATAAATCAATTCTGTTGGCAGCAAGTGTCTGAATAAAGTCTTTTACTTTGTGGATAACGGAAATCCACTGGTGGCAGTGAGAAAGAGAAGTAACTTCTCAATTGAGATCTGCTGGTGAGATGACGGTAGCGTGAGCCTTTGTTTGGTGAATCAAGGGTCTCATGGTAAACGTCACAGAGAGCATTATCCTCCAAGAGCATATCTAATCCATTTAAGTTTATGGCTATTGCTGCCTTGGTTGGAAATAAATTCTACTCTTCCACTAACTATGCCTATGTGAACAAATATTTCCTTTTTGTCTGTCCCCACACCTCAGCGTCACTGGATGCCCTGTGCCTTTCAATTTTGTAAAAGAGGGAGGAAAGAGACATTTTCATAATTGTATAAGACTTTTGCATGGCTCCATGTAGCCAGCTATTCTCCTAAACCAAGAAATCCCTTCTTCACCGGGGAGGTACTTCAGCACACGACTCGCTTAGGTGGCCCTCTGCCACGAGAATGATGCACCTAAGAGAGGAGGCAGAAGTGCTGCCCTAAATGAGCAGATCAGATTTTCCATCCTCTGCCCTTCCAGTATGCTCTACGGAAAGCCTGCCTGGCCTTATCTCCCGCTCGCCCCCCCCCCAAAAAAAACACACACCCAGTCCCTTCCCACCTCTTTGGGCCAGTTAGCATTAGAAAATGCACTGTGATTGCAGAACAGTACTTGGATTTTTGTTTTGCAGCCACTATGTAGATGGAAGAACAGGAACCACAACTATTTCTAATCTGTCAAAAGAAGACTGTTCCCTGCCTGTTTTTTCCTGAGAAATCTGCCTTAAAAATTGAATCCCCTTTTTGTTACAATCCTTACATTCAGAGAAATCTCCTTCAATCTGTGGGTGTAGATTGCAGTGGACAACACCTTTATCAGGAAATTCTTCCTAGCATTTAAGTCAAAACTCTCCTTTCTTGTAACTTGAAACTGATTCCTTTGAATCCAACTCACTAGGGCCACAAAAAACAAGCCTGTTTCATCTTCCTCATAACAGGCCTTCAAATATTCAGAGCAGGCTAATGGGAAAAAGAAACCACAACAAATGGCTGTCCCTCCTTCCCACTTTTTGGATCCTGCTACTATTCAGTACCATGATCATCTTGAAGTGAAAGCAGAGCACAACAGCATTCCAGCAATCCAGAAGGGGACTATCAAATTTGCCAGTGGTGGTGTAGCAGGCAACTTAGAAGGATAGAATTTGATCTGGATCAGAACTCAAGTGCTCTCAAGTCACCCTTGTCTACAGTATGTTCCAGCTACAGGAATTACAAGCATCATTGATGTCAATATATGTCTGTGTCTAGGAGCAAGAAGTCTTTTTATAATAAAATTTTTGTAGTCCTCTACCTCCTATACCTCATGTCTCCCTGCCAGTTTTGGAAGGAAAAAGGCAGACCAAAACATCCATCAACAGATGCATCTTATGCGGTTGTTGAAACAGTACACTGTAAGACTTACTAGTTTTTAAGGCAACCAGTGGAGAACCTTTGACCCTAGATTTTGCTGAACTGTAACTCCCCTCACTCTATACTATTGGTTAAACAAGCTGGAGCAGATGGCAGTTGCAGCCCAGTGACCAGCGTGCTCCTGGCCAGGGCAGGGACGATTCTTATCCTGAAGTGGGACCACTAGTATCAACACCTGGAGGGCCCACTGTTGGCCCATAAGATGCCCACCCGCCACTGTGAGAAGATAACGTCTCCCCCAGCGCTATACTTGTCCGCCCTTCTCTTTCCCTCACCAGGGCTACAGCCGAAGCAAAGGGCTGTTGCTGTCACGGGGCCCGCGTTATTTGAATTGCTGGATTCCAATCCGATTCCTTGTAAGGTATGGAAAGCCGCAGCCGCAGGTAAACAAGGCGTGGCAATCAGTGTTGCAGCAGCAGATAAGGTAAACGACAGGCGCGGCCGCCAGTGGAACAGAGACGGGAGCGCGCGTGCCCATTGCTCAGCCCAGCCAGCTGAGCTGGAATTTCTCGCCTTTCCCGTCACCCGCCTTAAGCAGGTACAAAGCTCCACCTGAAGTCAGGGCGGGCAGAGCCACTCCTTCCCTCCACCTTCTTTGTCGTCTTCTTTTTGTTGGAGTTGTTTTTGTTGCTGCTGCTGCTGCTGCTGCTGCTCCCGCCCGGTCTTTCCATTGGTTCTCCGGACAACCCAGAGGGAGCCCCTGAGCTGAGCACGGAGGGTGGGGGGGGCGGGAGATTTGCTTTTGAGTTTCGCAATAAGAAGGGAGGGGGAGAGGACCTGGCGACCGACGCCGCTCGCGCCCTTTAGCGCCTTCGACAGCCCTCGACGCGCTCGTCCTGCTGGCCTGCCGGCGCTTCCCCCACCGCGCGCACGTGGCGAGGGGCCAGTTGGGGCGAGAAGCGCCCCTCGCCCGCTCAGCAAAAGAGCGGCCGCCGCCTCCAGAAGCAGCAAAGAGTCCTCGCTGCCCACCGAGAGCCACACATTCCCGCCACCTTTCGCTCCCAGCCCGGCTTCGCCGACACGGCGTGTGTGTGTTTGCGCGCGCGTTCTCGCTCTCTCTCCGACTGCTGCTCCTCCCTCTTTGCCCCCCCCCCACCCTTTGAGTTGTCATCATCTGGCCACAGCGGTAGGAGCCTTCCTTCGGCATGGTTCTCTACGGAACGGCAGGGGAAGATAGGGAGCCGGCCGCAAGAAGCGGGTTCGCCGAGGAGTAGGGCAAGGAACGGGCGACGTGAAGAATCGCGCGCTGCCCACCGAGAGCCACACGCTCGCCCTCCCTCTTTGCCCCCCCCCCACCCTTTGAGTTGTCATCATCTGGCCACAGCGGTAGGAGCCTTCCTTCGGCATGGTTCTCTACGGAACGGCAGGGGAAGATAGGGAGCCGGCCGCAAGAAGCGGGTTCGCCGAGGAGTAGGGCAAGGAACGGGCGACGTGAAGAATCGCGCGCTGCCCACCGAGAGCCACACGCTCGCGCCACCCTTCGCTCCCAGCCCGGCTTGGCCGACACAGCGTGTGTGCGCGCGCGTCTCGCTCGCGTTCGCCGAGGAGTAGGGCAAGGAACGGGCGACGTGAAGAATCGCGCGCTGCCCACCGAGAGCCACACGCTCGCGCCACCCTTCGCTCCCAGCCCGGCTTGGCCGACACAGCGTGTGTGCGCGCGCGCGCGTTCTCGCTCGCTCTCCGGATTCTCGTCGCCCGCTGAGGATGGGGGACGGGGCTCCTGCGTTTCGAGGAGTCTCCGGAGCTACCGGGGGACACTCCCGGGCCAGGCACATCCCCGCCGCCGCCGCCGCCGCCTGCCTGCTGGGGTTGCTGGCCGGCAACGTGTGCGCGGCGGTGGTCGAGAAGAAAGGTGAGTCGGGCAAGGCGGGAAGTCACGCGCGCGTGTGGGGCTGCGGGGGCTGCTCCCTGGTCGAAGTGCCCGCGGGAAAGAGATGCCCAGGACCGAGCTTCTCTGGGGTAGGGGGGAGGCTGCCTTGGGATTGTCTTCTGGAGCGCACTGCACATGCTCAGAGGCACGCGGCACCCACACTGGGAAGCGCCCGTCACTGGTCTTTTCGCGCTTCCGATCCTGCCCAGTGTTCTCGATCATGGGCTCTGCCTGCAGTCAAAGGGATTCTCCGTTACAATTTCACTGTTTTTGCTTCTGGATTTAAACAAACAAGCAAACAAATAGGTTCTGGGACTTTAACTTGTTTCAGCGTCTGGGTCTTGCTTACCTACTGCTTGTACTGTATGTTGCAGCGCCTCCTGGACAAGCAAGCCCGGTGTGTCTAAGTCCTACATCAAAGATTGGATGGCAATAAGCATAACACAGCATAATAATAATAGTAATAGTAATAATAATAATATATTTCAGAAAACAATGTGGTAGCAACTTGTGGTTGCCTGCTGAAAGGAGAGCTGCCTTGGAGTTAAGATAACCTGTACAAGCGCCCAGTTTCTCCCAACTTACTGTATACATAATTCAAATTTCCTGATGGAAACTCAGTATTTCATGTTTGAGGGGGACAGGATGGCAGAAGTATGCTTACTAGACAGCCACTCCCTCTGCCTCCAGTCACCTTCTTAGCTAGATGAAATCTCTGAAAAGAATAGCAATAAAGGAAAGCTCTTATGGCATGCCAAAACATGCAGTGAGGTAGTGTCACATATCAAAGCTCTGAATTTATTCCAGAGTTTTTCCTTGATATTTTTCTCAGTTTAATTCCTTTGATGAAGTGGACCCCAAGCCTTGAAAAATTGTATTGTGGTGAAGCTATCAGCCAACAAGGTGCCATAAGACTTCTCTGCTGCATTTAGTACAAAAGATTTGGCTTTGCTTCTAGAAGTCAGTCTTTTTGTAAATCTTGCACAAATGTTTGCAATGTGATCATCTTCTTCTTTACATTTTCAAGCCCTTAAAGCATCAGCAGTACAAACAATTGGGTAGGACACAGAGGTCTCTTGTTTATATGGCCCATGTAACAGGCAGATGAATGTGTTTCACAAGAGTGCAGAGGATTATTAACTCTCTTCCTGTAATGTGGGGAAAACCAGTAATGATTCATAGGGATGCCTGAGCCTAGTAAACCATCATTCTGTGCGGACATGAGACTTAAGTGCATTGCATATATTTCTGTGAAATGTTGTTTTCTAAAGCAGTGGTCCCCAATCCCTGGGCCGTGAACCGGTCCCTTTCCGTGGCCTTGGAATGACTGGACCGCTGAGACAGATTTTTGACAGCCAAAGGAATGTGCATGTATGCACACCTGCCCGCACAGACGCACACCCGCTGGCACAAACACCCCCTGCATGCACACACACACACACAAATGCCCACCCACCTCCTGCATGCACGAATGCATCCCCCGCCTGACACCTGCATTGAGGACCTCCCACCCCCACGTATGCATGCCCCCTGCACGGACAGACACATGCACCCCCAATGGCCCCCAGTCTTTGGGAGAAGAGTCTTCAACTAAACCTGGTGTCAAAAAGCTTGGGACCCAGTGTTCTAAAGCCCTCTTTAATATCAGGTGCTATTTATCCCTTCTGCCAACATAAGCACAGCATTATTGAATAGCATAGAGAGCGGTTCTCTCTGGGGTCATTTCCTTGCCAGCACTTAAACATAAGGAATTACTTGAGAGTGCTGATCCTAAATTAAATTATTTTTCAGCCTTGATGATTGAGCTCCGTGTTCCACTTGCAGCCCTGTTTGCCTAGAGTTTCATCTTCTAGTTCATCTGCATATCTCTGTGAAGAAAGTTTTATTCTTCTGTTCTTGATAAACCAGTTTGGAAGCAGCAGTGGGAACAGTGGGTGGGAGTTTGGGAGTTTTTGTTTTGGCTGGTAGATAGCTTTCCCTTTTCTTCTTCTTTCTTAGCCTTTGTAAAGCAGCCAGCTTCAGTTCCAAGGGAATCATCTTTATTTTGGAACACTGCCAGAAGAAGAAAAAATAAAGATTTTCTTCTTTCCTTCTTTCCGGTCCGGGGGGGGGGGGGAAGGGGAACCACAAGTTTAGAAAGCCTGATACATGAGTTAAGCAAAAGTAATTTCAGTATTTCATGGCTCCAGATAAGAAACTTGAAAAGAAGAAACATTCTCCATACAGCTAATTAAACAATCTTAACATCAAAAAGTGTTCTCTTTCAGTTCTAAACAGCAAGTTCATACCTGTTGGTGATGTAAACAAGGCAGCGCTGGTTTTTTTCCCTTTTGTGTGTCGTTCAATCTATCTGCGTATGGTTCAGATAAAACCATGTTGCATGTACTAGGAATCTGCATAGAAGAATGTATAACTTGGAAACAAAGTGTTTAGCATTTGCATTCAATACAGAGCTGTAAAGGATAATCATTTTCTGACCCTTGCTGCCTAATATTAGTAACTTAACTGAATGTGGAAAAAAATAGAAAGGAATTGCAGGTTTGCATGTGCTGGTTTGACTATGAACTATGGTTCTGTAGTCTACACTTTTCTCTTTTAATAAGGCCATGGATAGTAGTATTTTCCTTGACCATGACCTTCTTCTGAAGTTGAGTTGATAATTTATTATCATCACTCTTTCAGATATATTACAAAGGCTCTTACTGAATATTTTGTGGGCTTAATTCAGGTGACACAGGTCAATCTATACTAAAATAAATTCAATTCTTCTAAAAAAAACCTCTGGTTTGTGAATATGGGATATTGTGCGTTTGTACCCACAATGCAAAAAATCCAGGAAATGACCCAGTATTGCTGCACAATACCCTGCTTGCGTTGCCAGCAGGAAAAAGGATACCAAGCTTGACACAGCAAAGGGCAGCCTGAATGTTGACAGCCCCAATGGCAGCAGTTAAGATCGTCTACAGCAGGGGTGTCCAACCTTTCACCTTCCCTGGGCCACATTAGAAGATGAAAAATTGGTTTGGGCCGCACATAAATTTGGTTTGGGCTGCATGGGGGGACAGCCCTAGCCACCCTCCGCAGCCCCGCTCCAAGTGCGCTTACCGGCAGCTGCAATTTCAGATAGCAGAGGCTGCCAGCTTCAACTCTGGCAGCATTATGTGGCCAGGAGGAGGTCCACCTATTGACGGGGATGGCACAATGCAGTCACCCAGCTCCCTTCTCCCCTCCCCTCCCGCTCCTTCCTTCCTTCCCCCCCCCCCCCACCGTTGTGACGTGCCCCAGCCGCATTCCGGCCGCAAGTGCCGGCAGTGTAACTTGAAACTTTGGAATTTCTTTTAAAATAAAAAATTACACTGGGCTGCATTATGAGCCGACCTGGGCCACATGCGGCCCTCAGGCCGCAGGTTGGACAAGCCTGGTCTACAGAATACACTCTTCTGCTCAATACCTTTTACACTTGTTGAAAAAGAGCCCTGACAGTTTCGTTGTGTTTGAGTGAGAAGTGGTTAACTGATGACAAAAGGAGTCAGTTTCTGGGATTTTCCCTTGCGTGGTGTTACTTTATGAATGGTAGTGGTGCTGAGGGACTCCTGTTCAACACCTGGACCATTAACCTGTGGAGTGTCTCAGGGTTCCGTGATTCTCCATATTGTTTCACATATACATGAAAAACCTGAACGAGGCTGTCTTGAATTTGGCTGTCTGGTACCACCAGTGTGCTGATGACACCCAGCTCCATCTGCTTTTTAAGATCTTCCAGGAGGCCCTTTCCTGGCTTGGCTTTTTAAAACAGGAGTTTAAATATACCCAGATATTCAGTCAGAAATTTCCCTCATATAGAATTACCCAGTAGTAGAGGATTTAAGAAGATAAGCGTAGGATCTGTACTATGATTCCTGGAGAAGAGAGAAGTGAGGACTGCTTGGATGTGCCGATAGTCCCTGCGTGCTAAAATATTTTGAAAGGCTGTTTTAGACCGGCTTTTTAAAACAGGAGTTTAAATATACCCAGATATTCAGTCAGAAATTTCCCTCATATAGAATTACCCAGTAGTAGAGGATTTAAGAAGATAAGCGTAGGATCTGTACTATGATTCCTGGAGAAGAGAGAAGTGAGGACTGCTTGGATGTGCCGATAGTCCCTGCGTGCTAAAATATTTTGAAAGGCTGTTTTAGACCTAATGGGAGGGTGAAGCAAAGATGTTGATTTACTTGCAAGAAAGGAGACAGCAGCAACAGCAGGATGTGGTGATGGCATTTGGCCTAGATGCCTTTAAAAGGGGATTGGACAGATTCCTGGAGGAAAAGTCCATCGCAGGTTACAAGCCATGATGGGGATGTATAACCTCCAGGCTTAGAAGGTACGTACGTCAAAATGCCAAATGTAGGGGAGGGGTACCAGGGCACAGGTCTCTAGTTGTCCCGTGTGTTCCAGGAGGCATCTGGTGGGGCCACTGTGAGATACAGGAAGCTGGACGAGATGGGCCCTTGGCCTGATCCAGCAGGGCTCTTCTGATGTTCTTATGAGTAGGTAAAACACATAAAATGGAGAAACATACGTGGATGAAACAAAATCATCCATACTATGTGTAAGGAAGATTGTGAAGAAAGACAGGGCAAAAGTCAAGTCATTTGAAATGTGGTGTTGGTAGAGATACTAACGCCAGCCAGAAAAGCAGAAACGTGGGTGCTCATTCAAGTCAAGCCTGAACTTTCAGTCAAGCAAAATAAAGTGACATGAGCCTATCCTGCCATGCACATATAATGGAAATACACAAATGACCAGAATAGACTATATTGCATGGAAAAGTGTGGTGAAACAGAAGGAAAAGAGGAAGATCTGAGATGAGACGGATTGACTCATTAAGGAACCACAGGTGTTAGTTTCCAAGATCTGGGCAGAACTTAATGGAAAAGACAAGATTGCTAGGGAGGGTTAGGAGGAGGAGAGGAGAAACTAACATGAGATGCTGCTTGTTT